AAAATCATAGTTTTAAAAACTATCATACTCTCTCATGAAGAATATATTTCACTTGAAGATAAACCACTTCAAGAATTTCACGTTGTCATCACCGTCAATCATATACTTTATCATGAAGAATAAATTTCACTTGAAGGTAAACCACTCCAAGAATTTCACACTGTCTTCGCCAACAACCATACTTTTAAAAAACTATCAACTCCATATAAAGAAGAGTATACTTCACTTGAAGGTAAACCACTCCAAGAATTTTCACACTGTCTTTCACAACACTATCATTATTTTCTGATATGGAAGATCACATAAAACTGCAACCACAGAGCATACTAAGAACTGTTATCCCCGTATCGAACCAAAAGCTCGGATACCGGTTGTTAGAAAAAACAAAGCATAGATAAAAATGAATAACACAATAACAACACAAGATATTAACATGGAAACTCCAAAACCGGAGAAAAAACCACGACCGTTGTCAAATGACAACCAGAGAATAACACTATGTGAAAATTATTACAAGACATAGACTATCCTCAGCCACCTCAAGGCCCGAATACACCCACACTCTCCAAAGCAAATATTTAACTATCCTTCAGAATACTATAAAAAAAGAGTATAAAAAAAATATAAAAAGTCAAATACAAGCTTAAAGTGCTTTTGACTGGTGCATCTTGGAATGAAGAGCTTGAATCTTATATATAGACTTGGAATCCCTTTTCCTTCATAAAACTAAGTGATGTGGGAATTCTCCAACTTGTATATATTCAACCAACCCCAACAGTGTTGTACATACTTTTAATATGATTTTTAAAGATTTTGCTGAAGTATTTGAGTGGCTAAGAAATACCTATAAATAAGACAAGGCAATAATTAAGTACATACTTAGTCTTAGTCAAAATTTGGATATATTTAGAGAAAATTTAAATCTAGAATAGTTAAAAGTAGTCAAAACTAGGTTTCCTTCTCGCTCTATTCTTCTTAAGCATTTTCTTGTGTGTCATGAAGCTTTAACAACCACTGATGTGTTGTATAGTTGGAAAGAATGAGTTAAGCAAGGAGATGAAAGTACAATAAAAATGGGAGCTTTAGTTCCTGAATTAATTTCCAGTGAAAGTTTTGGGGAGGAATTTGAAATTGTAGTTAAAATAACAAAATCAATTTATCATTTGATTAAATTTGCATATGGAAAAGGATAAAAAATGGGAGAATTTTATGAAAAAATAGATGTGATGTTTGGAGAAGTACATTATATTATGAAGAGAAATAAATATGGAAGTCGCTATTGTGAAATGGAAAGGATAATTACACTATACATTATCTTGGATTTGAACTAATCCTAAGATTTTATGATACACATTATCTCGCAACACTTACTCTATGAAATGTAGCTAGAAAAAATCCTAATTAAGATAATGAACTGGTCACTATAGTCATGGAGGCCTTTGAAAAAATATTAGAAGATTTAGAGGGAAAAAAACTTTTACGTGATTTGTTTGTTACATTTCACACAAAAAAGGAATGTATGTAACATCCATCTCTAAATTGGATGCAATAAAAATAAATGTTATTGATTGATGGTCAACTTATGGATCTGAAACTCTAGAACTTGCTTAGGTGGAAAAAAGTTCTTTCTCAACTAACAAGTAGCTCTTCGACTAAAAAATCTTGGAGTAATTATTCATATTTTCATAGTGTAAAATAAATTGGTGTATATTCACACAAATATCCGTTTACAGTCACAACTTTTTTAGTGCTACAAAAATGATCCTTTTAAAAACTGAGATGTGAATTATGATGGAGGTTAATATCCTGTGAGATGATTTCTAGTGCAAAGCTTACAATAATAAAATTTCCAGTGCATAAACATCTCTTGTATTTTGTCGTGAAAGCTTTGATAGATGTTTTGTTAGTTAAAATAATTAGTAGGTTAGTAACTATAAAAAAATATGTATTGGTATGAACAGATAAAAAGAAATGACTTAAAGTGATAAAACTATCGCAATGTTTTAAAATTTAAAGCTAGTCCCTGACAACAACACTATTTTTGTCCCAGTGAAGTTAGCAAATGCAATTTTTATCATCTTTATAGAGACTGATTGCGTTTTAAAGATTGCTCAGTAGTTTTTATGATTTAAAAAATGGTTTATTAGATGGTTGATTGTTTGCAAATACTAAAATGCAAAATAACATAAAAATAAAATGGTCTTTGGTGTTTAATAGTTGAAAAAACTTGTTGATGTTATATTTCGTTAACCTATTCTCGTGTAGTATTCTTGATCATTAATATGCAATTCTAATAAGCTATTAATATTATCCCTAATATTTTCATCACAACTCCTGTCTGAGTCAACTACGTGAAATCAATCGTATTACCTAATAGACAATTTCTCATTCTATTAACCAATATGACAATATTAAGTTTTGAACAGTTAATAGAGAGGCTGAATAATTTATGTCTTGACTTTAGCATATTCATTAGATGACGAACTTGGATCTATTAATAACTAATACATTTCGAATATCAAGTCATACCATGAAAATATGTTTTAGGTAGTTAATCCAAAACAAACATTAAGAATAAAGAATTCATAAATATTAAAGATTAAGAAGAATTACATCGAACGCCATAATTGGAATAAAAACATGAGTACCAGGACAATTACGTCTAACCCCAACAAAAAAGAAAATTACCTACGTAGCTATTCGTAGCCTTACACTTAAGCTCTAGGAGAAAGATGTTGAGAAACATTTGTTGAAGATTCCTCAGACAACGCTTCTACCAGTAGTCTCATTATCTTTTTCTTTCCTGTTGTGTTTCTCACCCATACTAAGAAAACTACTTAATTACAAGTGTATTACTAATTTCCACAAAGATGTCTCAAACTGAATAGCCTGAACCTCTATTTATAAGATGCTAGTCTACCATTTTCGCTAAGCCATGCTTAGAGCTTGTTTAGTGCATATACTTCACCATTCTCCACTAGGAGTCTCTTAGGATTACCCATGATAAAAGTACTACACTAAGAATTACAAAGGGTTAGCCGAAGATCAACAAATAACTTTTATAACGATTTCCTTATTTTTAAGTGATTTCACTTTAGAAGGAACTTTATCCCTTAAGTGTGCATTCCTTAACCATTGTAGAGAGTATTAAGTACGATGTGTTGGAATATTAAACTAGTAGTCTAAGCAATGCATAAAAAATAGGGTAAAGTGAATAAGATAAAATGTGTAAAATAATTTGATTGAAAATTATGATATGCATAGAGGAAATTATCATACTAACCATATAATTGTAACCTACGAAAATGTTGTTTTATTAAGCTAGATACGTAGGTAATGCACGAGTATTCTATCTACTCTATGAGACAAAACACCTTACGTTCAACTTGTTGCCTTTTGTCTCTCGGCATGTTTCGTTAATTCTACCCTCACACTCTTTCATATATCATATCATGGTTCCACAACCTTCATTTCTTTAGTCAAAGATATTATTAACACTAAATATGACTATAAAACTCGATCTCGATTGCTCAATACTCTATTATGTTTTGACTGAATCTAAAGTCTCAACCATCATAACAAATTCCAAAAATTTTAAAAAAATTCAATTAACTTTTATTTGATTGTGTTTACACTCATCTAAATGACTATTGACTAATCCAAAAATTGCATGTCTATCGATTTAATGAATATTTGAATTATTTTAAATATAATTAAAAATTAAGTTTTTACGAAGAAAGTATCACTCGGCTGTAGACATGGCAATATAATCCATACCCGCGGGTACCTGCCCGAACCCGCTCCGAATTTGACGGGGAAAATCCGCTTTGACTGGATTTGGGTTCGAGTTTAGATTTTTCCCGATTTTTAAATATGGGGACGGGGCGGGTAATGGGGACTGTAGTACCCACCCCGAACCCGTCCCCAAACCCGCCCCGTTTATTATTATTATTATTTTAAAAAATCATAATATTTTTTATAAAATCATACATTATATTTTTAACTCTTCCACTTCTCGTTGATTAGTTGCTGATTATCAATTAGACATATACAATGGTTAATTTAAAAATTGAAGTTGAACCATTGCAGAACATACATTTACGAGTTTGGATTAGTTGCTGATTATCAATTAGAGCAACTTTAGTGCATGGTTGTTAAACCAAAATTTTGTATAGCTTACGTCAGTAATAAAGAATTTGCATTATAGTAGAGCTGACATGACATCTAAGTGAAATAAAATTTAGTTCCCATTATCTATATAGTTAACGTTAACTATGTGAAATATATTATAATATTATTTATTTAATTAATAAAATATTCCAACAGTATTAAAGTAATGACATGATATTTGAAAATAGTGGGGTCAAGTTTTGGTTTCTTATAGACAACCATCATTAAAGTAAAAACTACTCAAATCAACTATAAATTTTTTAAATCCTACAAAACACTTTGGGTTTACAAAAAATATCTTAGTTTACCCATTTATTTTACTCCCATTAAAGATGCTCTTAGACATATACAATGGTTAATTTGAAATATTAATTGTATGATTAATGAATTAATACTTTCGTTTGTATTTTATAATTCGAAATATATGTTTGAAATTCTTCGAGATTGTATTTTATTTTTGTAATACAAGTTAATATTTCTTAAGATTATGACAGGTTTTGGGTTTGAGGCGAAATTTGGGTTCGGGGCAAAATTTGGGTTTGAGGCAGGATTTGGGTTTGGGGGCGGGGCGGGAATCCTCGAACCCATTTGGGACGGGATTGGGGTTCAATTATTCATCCCTGCTGGAGTTCGAGACGGGGAACGGAGATTTATTTAGAATTCGAGTTTGGATTTGGGGAATAAAAAAACCGTCTCCGCCCCGCCGCGTTGCCGTTCCGGCTGAAATAAAAAATAAAAAATAAAAGATAAGAGAGACCATTTCTGATATTTCGAACAAAAAAGGGACCATTTCTGAAATAAGTGAAACGAGTAAGAAAAAATCGGCGTGGATGAGCATGGCGACGTATCTTCGCCTTCGGAGATACGCCTCTCTCAACTCCCTTTCCCTTCTCCACTTCCACAACTCACCGTTTTCCACCGTCAGATGCTCTTCTTCTTCTTCGTCGTCTTCATCGCCGTCATCTTCCGGTACCACTAAGCCGGATAAGAAGCTCGGGGATCGTCTTTCGTCTGTAATCGACGCCGTCAACGATCGCAAACTACCTCCCGAACTTCGCGGCCAGCGCAACAATGTTAGGTATTGCATTATTTACACAATTCACTCTCTTAGAAGTTAGTCACAACTCATACTCTGTAATTCGATAGATTCAATTCATGTCCATAGCGAATACGCGAATTGATAAAATCATTTGAAATTATTGTTTTGATTGCTTTACAAGTATTAAGTGCTCATGATACTTTGTTAGTATTTGTTAATTATGAATATGAAACAAAAAGTACGAAGAACTTTGAATTTTTCCTATGTATATTTACAAAACTGAACGGTCAAAGCTGTTATTTTAGAGAAAAATGTTATATCTTGTTGGTTTGTAAGAAATTAAAAACACCAATTTGATACTAAAAATTCTCAAATATTGGTCAATTAAATAATTTTAGAATAATCTTTAGAGACACTTTAGCTGTGTCAGAGACTAAATTGGTACTAATCTTTTATTACCAAATAGTTCTATATATATGTTTACTTTTACCTCAAAGTGCTGCTTAGATCTTTACTCTTTATATATGATATTGAAATAATAGATTGAAACCAGGTGAACTCTAGTTACACCACATATGTTATCAATCTCCCGATAGTGGCGCGGCACGACCATCCCCAAAAAATGGAATGGAATGGGAGCGGGGAGTGGAACATCCGAGATTTTAGTGACGCAACGGGAGCGGGGAGTGGAACATCCGAGATTTTAGTGACGCAGACACTAATACAGTTAATATTAATGAACACATGATAGTTAAAAATTAAAATAAATTAATCAAAATCATGAATTCTTATTCATATTTAGAAATAAAAGCCATAAGTCTTAGCAAAATATACTTCCAAATACCAATAAATTCAAGAAAATAACCTTGATATTCTTAAAAATTTAAGTGTAATATCATATACGGATGACACGGCCGCAGAGGCCATGTTTGAGTGGTGTCGTTCCCAATCCATCCCATTATCACGGTTGTTCCAGCCAAGCCACCCATCTGTGTTGGGACGGCGCGGCCTGGTGCAGTTTTCTTGGTTTTGTTGTTCCCTGCCAAGATAAGGGCCAAAACAGGCGAGTTTGAGAAGATAGCCAAATACATCAGAACGGCTGAGTTTGATAAGATAGCCAAATAACGCCCTTATTGTCTATGTTTATCACCACTTTTCATATCTTCACATTATGATCAATAAATTGTCACCAGGTTCAGGTATATGTGAACAAGAGGCACTGGTTGCTATTGGACACCATTGGTAGACATGCCATGTTAGTATTACACATACATCATAACATGCACTACCTCTGGTGTCAAATATAAGGAAAAGTTAACTACTTTTATCATAAAAAATGCTATTATTCCATAATTCCCCTTCAACTAATTTGGATTTATTTTCTCCATTATCATTTTATTCTCATAGAACAATACAGCTGTTTTCAAATTATTTTTAGAATATTAAATGAGATTGACTATTTTTCTTAATGGATGCAACATTAGTTATTTTTGTTTATACATGAGAACATTACATAACATTGAAGAGATTGATATATCATGTAAACATACCCCAGATGATAGATCAGTATAATTGGTCTTGCTTGTATGATGGTCTGTGTTAGTTTTGTCATCATTTGTTTAACACAAATTGGCTGTTAGACAGGTCAGAAACTGACTTGATCAACGTTGTTGAGCAAAGAATATGGCATTCAATGGAAGAAGGCCAATTTGAGAACTTGCCCGGGAAAGGAAAGCCGCTTAAACTTGACACAAATCCTCATGCAGATCCAGCTGAAGACACGTTATACAGAATTCTCTCGAAGAATGGATGTGCACCGGAGTGGGTTGAACTTAACAAAGAGATAAGATCTAGAATTTCTCAATGGAGGATGTCGTTGAAGAAAGTCTGGGAAAATAAATGCAGTGGAGATCAGTCTATGTGGGATGGAAATTCAGAGGTTTTGAAATCGCAGTTAAAAGAAATCAATGATAAGGTGAGCTAGCTAGGTTATTTTATCATGTTAATGTTTGCTGGAAGTTGGAGAATCGAATATGGTTCCAGCAAGTCTTGAACTCTGTCTTTCATGGTTGTAATATTGTACTTGTAACATATCTTCTTTGTTCCTTCCTCTTTTCTTTTGCAGGTTTTCCGGTATAACCTCATTGTTCCTTTTGGTCGGCAAATGTCCGGCCTTAAGTGGGAGAAAGAGCTAGGTTATTTAGAAGAATGATGAAACTCACTGTTTTGCATGGTAGTCAAAATCTCAACTTGAATTGTAAAATTCCACGATTTTGCAATTACGCTTGTCCTCAGGCGATTTAGAATATTCCTTTGAAACAATCATGTGATTATGCTTATAAATGAATTTTCAGGATTATGCTTATAAATGAATTTAAGTTTATATAAGTATTTGAAGAGTGCTAGACATGAAAGGAATTCACATGAATTTGTAATGAATGGATTTGGATATGATAAACTTAAATATGAACTTGAGTTAAAAGATAATGTGTTTGAAGTGATGATATGATGTGAATGCTTAGAATTGAAATGTTATGATTTGATGAAGTTGATTGAAAAATATATGCTAAACTTGAATTGAAATCATATGAAGATGCTTGTGTGATATGTTTGAACATGTTGCAATTGAATTGGAAATGTTTTATGAATTTGTAACTACATGAAGCTTGAACGTATGAGAATGATTGAATTGAGTTTGATTTGATTGGATTTGATAGAACTTGGAGTATGAGAATGATTGAATTGAGTTTGATTTGATTGGATTTGATAGAACTTGGAGTTTGATTTTGAAATGTTCGAATGAAACTTGAATTGCCTTTGCAAAGAATTATGAACTTGAAGTGAAATTTGGATTGGCATTGAAAAGAATTTGAATTTTGTCTTGAAGCTTGAATTGATTGAAATCTCTGGAGATGAGTTGAATTTGAAGTTGTGTAATCACATATGGATTAAAGTGGTTTGAAAAGTATTTAGAAAATGGTATGAGTTTAATCTTGAATTTGAAATTCTTGTTTTGTTTTGTAGGCATATGGATAGCTTGAATAGAGCTCAAAGCATGGCTTGAAGACGTGCATGGAGTTGAAGCTTTTGGCATAGGGTGTCGAAGTTTGTGTGAAGCAAAACTCGACTTTTTGGTTTTTTTTTTGGTGTTTTAGGCTTAGGACTTGTGTAGGTTTGTAGCTTGTAACTTAAATCCAGACACTTTGTAATTGACCTAAACTTTGTAAAAAAAGAGAAAAAAAGTTGGTTTTGACAGATTTGTAATGACTTTGAAAATGACTTGGAACAAAAATTGTATTTAAACTTGAGACTTGAATGATTGAAAATTGAAAAATGAAGTTGAATTTGATTGGAAATGATCCTTGAAGTTAAACTTGAATGGCATTAAATTTGGAATGAAAACTTGATTGTGAGTTTGAAATACCAAATTGGAAATTTGGTAGTTTTGAGTTGATCATGAAATTGGAATGTTTTAATTGAAATAGTTAGAAATTGAAATGCTTTGTATTGAAATGATATTGCAACTTGGATTTAAATTGGATACATCTTGAAACTTGATTGAATAAAAGGAGAATTAAGTTAAAATTTTGAACATGAAGGATCTTTTATGGACTTGAACATGAAAGACAAGTGAATTATGGAAGTTGAAACATACATGAATTAAAAAGAACTTGATATGGGATTTTGAAATTGGAATGAATTTGAAATTGAATTAGAATAGACATAGAAATTAGCTTAGAATGAAGTTAAAAAAAATGAAAATCTTGAAAGAAAATAGGAATTGATTATAGAATTTGAATTTTAACTTGAAACATAGAACTTAAAATTGAAATCGAACCTAAATTTTAAAATTGAGTTAGAATGGAAATAGAATGAGAAGGAATTGAAATAGAAATAGAATTTTAATTGAAAAATAATGGATTTGAAATTTGAAATTCAACTACGCACAAATAAAAGGGAAATTCTAATCCAACTTTGTAGGAAAACCTCATAGGATCCAAATTCTCAATGTTAAAAAAATCCTTAAAAACAAGCATGAGACCCTTAGCCCTCAATAGGTAAAACACTTGTTTCAAAGTCATAATCCTCCTTTGATATTTCATTGTAAATTCAAAAGTTGGGTATGCACTATTTATGTGATATCGATGTGATGAATATATAATATAAAAGGTTAGAGTGAAAATGAGGGTGTGACAGTTATCCCTATTTAAATAGTTTCGTCAGATGACATGGGGGCTTGGAACCCCCATGTAATTCCGACGGAAGTTATTTAAATACAAGAATACCCTAATTTACTCTCAAACGCAGATGATATGCCATGATGTACTATGCTAATGCCGACATATAATGAATTCTAGCATGATGAAAATAAAATAATGGGGATGATACATGCAAAATGCAGATAAAGAAAGAAAAACACAAGGGGATAAAGTCAACACAGTGAGTAGCAAACTCACTGGGGATGACCAAACACTGGGGAAAAGAAACAACCGAGGAAAACTACAGTTATCGACCAACAAGTTCAAGTACGACCGGCTGACGCTCTAGGACAAAAGGTAAAGTAGGATCCTTATACCAAAAGGATCGTGCAAGCAAAATGCTAGAGTTTTCAAAAGTAAACATCCAAGCCTCTGGAGATTCCTTAAAACGAAGAGATCAAGCGGGATCTTCAGGAAACATCAAGAAAGATACAGGGTATTTAAACTCTTATGTATGCCAAAATAATCAGACTTCACGGGAAAACACCCTTTGGATAAGCTTCTCAAAAGAGATTGTCATTTATCGTTGAAAAAGGATAAGTTTTTCAAAAGAGATTGCCACTTAACATTGAACATTAAAAATTGATAAGCTTCTCAAAGGAGACTGCCATTTATCACAATAGCAAAACAAGCTTCTCAAAGAGACTGCCACTTGTTGACAAAAATGGATAAGCTTCTCAAGAGAGATTGTCACTTATCTGACACAGAATAAGCTTCTCAAAAGAGATTGTCACTTATCAGAAAAAGGCAAAAGGAAACAAACTTCTCAAGGGAGATGACCACTTGTTGACAAAAATGGATAAGCTTCTCAAAGGAGATTGCCACTTATCTGATAAAGGATAAGCTTCTCGAAAGAGATTGTCACTTATCAGAAAAAGGAAAAAGGAAACAAGCTTCTAAAGGAAGATGGCCACTTGTTGACAAAAATGGATAAGTTTCTCAAAGGAGAGACTGCCACTTATCCGCAATGGGGATTTATAAAAGATTCTTCCTGCGAGATACAGTGCAAAATAAATGCATGTTCAAACTAGGTTCGGCGACCTAATCAAATTCAAAAGCGAAACTTGCCAAGGACCAAAGTTCAATCTAGGAACAAGCTAGAAAGAAACGGTAAAAAAAACTCCAACCATTGAGGAATGAACTCAAATGGGGTTCACCTTATCCAAACACGGAGAAGATAACAAAAGCGACCATCATCCCACGAGGATCAAACTCAATGGGGAATTTAGAAAGGATGTGCATTTTATGCCTAAAGCTGACGACTATACTTGGAGAGAGACAACAAACCCATCCACTTGGGGAATAAACGCCAAAGTGAACAAAATAGGTAAACACCTGAATAATAGCAAAAATGATTGGATTCCATGCATACATATGAATACATGTACGTGGGACTCTATGTTATTGGTGAAATGCGAGACAGACTCTGTGGGGATTATTGAGATGACTACCAATGAGGTTCGTTGGGGCTTAAAAACAATAGGGTAGAATGACTCACCGAGGATACCTGAAGAAAATGGTTAGTTCTGACTTTTCAAGGAACTAACCAAAACATTACTGGAAACTGTAGTGAAAAGGTATGTCCTGGATTCACACGGAGCAAAAAGATAATTGACTGTAATAAAAGAAAAGACTCCAAATTCGCACAGAGTATAAAAAGCAGAGACTCTGGACTTGCACAGAGTATAAAAAGGAAAGACTCCAGATTCGCACAGAGTATAAAAAGAAAGACTCCAGATTCGCATAGAGTATAAGGAAAGACTCCGAATTCACACAGAGTGATGCAAAATCAAATGAGCTATGGTTCTACTTAGAACAACGCAAATGATAGGTATGGTTTCTCTCATAACCATGAAGTAGGGTTCCAGTTTTGCACAGAACAAAAGGAAGGACCCCGGATTCGCATAGAGTACAAAAGAGAGATGGGTTAATTCTTCTCGCATAACCATAAAATGAAGTTCCAGATTCGCACAGAACAAAAGAAAGGACTTTGAATTTGCACAGAGTACAAAAGAAAAGGTTCTAGATTTGCGCAGAGTATAAAAAGAAAAGTTCCGAATTCGCACAGAACCAAATTGACAATAAAACTTGACAATACAACATATGGAATGATATCTCAAAAATTTGTCAAGCAAGAAAGTAATTAAAACTATGACCTATCTGACATATGACTTGGAAAAACCTCAGATCAACAAAAGAGATAAACTTTACCAAGTATCTGTTTGAGTAAATACCATCACTAATGGACTAAACAAAAAAAGATGATATGATACGCTTGACATGCAACAACCTGAGCGGGGTGCATGCAAGACAAAGAGTGGATCATTGTGACAGACACAAAGGATTTTTTTGGTGTAGAGATGACTGTCCTGTTTTCCTCAACACTTGGAGAAGCATCTTAGCTAAAATGAATGGATGTTCTGAACATGTTCTTCAGGTATGTCAGACTTCGTCAAAATCTTATTGGAAAATGATGGGACCAAGTCCTCCTTAGGAATTATTTCAGAAGTGTTCCACAAACATCTCGTAATTTTGTGGTCTCTGGGGAAAATATCAACTCCCCTTTTAGTTATTTCAACTGTCAAAGAATTTATGTATCTCAATATATTATTATCTCTTAGCTTCAAAATTATATCATAAAAAATAAATGACATTTTGCAAAAGAAAGATAAATAACACAATGAATAGAAAAAGAAATGTAAATTTCATTTATAATATGGCAGCGCATGAAAACATGGATCCACATGGGATATTACAAAGAAAAAAAAAATGAAAATGGCAATGAGAAAGGTTTACATTGAATCTCAATAAATGCTACTTTCCCTAGAACTAAAAGATCCCTAGAACTTCGCTTCTGACGAGAACAATTAGGTTGATCTTCATGCCCCTGTTCTTTCTGTGATGATCAAACTTGCTCGATATAGTATTAGCCTTTTATTTATCCCTAACTTTT